CTGCTAATCAGAAGTTTATTGGTTCAAACTCACCAGCTGCTTTGCAGAGGAAAGATGAGGCAGTCTGCTTCTGTAAGGATTTAAAGCCTTGGAAGTGCAGTGGGGGTTGCAGTGAGTCAGATTTGACTCAATGGCAGTGAGTTTGAGTTTTATATTTCTTTGTGCATAATTGGTGCTTAGTTGATGTTTGATGAATAAGTTTGCATTTGTAAGTGGGATAGGGGATGAAGCTGCTGGGAGAGCATTACCAGGCGTAGCTTACTGCATTGTTGAGTTGGCACTCATTTGCTTTTGTTGGATGAATATAGACATGCTTGCTTCCTAGTAACTTGAAAAAAAAAGTCTTAATTTGAGGAAAGATATTGAATAGTTTCTAAAAGCAAAAGGTGGCTCTCAGAAGTAAATCCTATGAGTAGTTGCTGTCCCTGAATTTTTAAGATACTTGTTCTCTGTATTCCATATTTGTTTTTCTACCACAGTGAAGAACAATATAATACCAGATTGGTTGCAGTAGTAATGGTAGTAGGCACTTAGTAGGTGTTGAGTACACATTTATTGATTGGATAAAAAATGAAATATAGCATCTGAAGTTATTATTGGATATCACATAACAGTTATAAATAAATGATTTTTGAGAAATGAACAGTGGAAAGATGATATACAATTTAATTTTTGGGAGACAGCTCTGACTTTTGTAAGATAGTACCAGGGCTGCTGTTTCCCTGTTTTATTTTTGCATTAAGAAAGAAATGACACTAATCACTTGCCCTAATATGCAATACATAGCCTGTTTGTGTGGAGTGTTGTTCATAGATAAGAAATGGCTTATTGTGAATTAGTACTTTAACTTGTAATCTGACAGCAGTTATGGATTATAAGTGGCTAATATGTGTTTTCTTCTTTCCTAAATGTTTGTTGTTGTATGCCGTTGAGTCAGCCCCGACTCATAGCGACCGCTCCTTGGGTTTCCGAGGCAGTATCCCTACAGAAGTAGGATTGCCCAACCTTCCTTCCGAGGAGTGGCTGGTGGGTTTGAACCGCCAGCCTTCTGGTTAGCAGTCAAGTGCCTTAGGCACTATGCTACCAGAGTGCCTTCTTTCCTAAATAGTGAAGTAATAATTTCTTATCATTAAGAGTTGCTCTAAATATGGGAATTGATTAGAAACCATCACAGGACCTAACAAAAAACATTATAATAAGGGACTCATAAAAATGGCATATAAATGTTTTCACCAAAGTTTGCTTAATTTTCCTAAGTAAATAAGTTCTGTGAAGTTTGGACATAATCAATTTTATATTCCCTTCCCTTTTCTAACAAAAATTACATGTATTATTTAGTGAGTATGCTAAGGATGAAAATAATAAACATTTACTGAAATCTAGTTTGTGCTAATTTATATATACTATCTCATTCAATTTTTTTATTAAGGTTTGAAGTTGCAATTACCTGTCCATTTTATTGAAATGAAAATGAAATTCACTTAAATATTTTGCCCACGCTACACAAATAGAGCTGAAAACAGGTCTGCTTCACTTCCAACTCTTTGTTCTTTTTTCTCTAATCTACTTGGAGGCTGAAAAGTCCAATTTCTTGAAGGAAATTTATTTCGATATTTATAATTGGCCACCTCTTTTTCCTATGGAGTGGCTTGTGGGTTTGAATCACCAACCTCTTAGGTAGTAGCTGAGAGCTTAACCACTGTTCCATTATAATAGCACATATAGCACATAAGTTCATTTACCAAAATCTAATTAACTAATCTCCTTATACTGGGTATATTTTTCTCTTATAAATTAGACTACTTTAAGATTCTTGATATCTGTGCATTTTTGTTAGGTACTGTTGAGTCAGTTTTGACTCACAGCAACCTCATGTATAACAGGACAAAACGCTGCCTGTTTGTAAGCCATCCTCACAGTCATTGCTGTGGTTAAGCATTAGTTGTCAGCCACTGTGTCAGTCCATCTCATTGAGGGTCTTTTTTTTTTTTTTTTGCTGACTGTGGTAGTTAAGTTTGTATGTCACCTTGGCTGGGCTTGGTTGAGTGGCTGGGCAGCTGGATATAGTTCTTCCCCATGGTGAGACTGGTAATCGACTCCATGGTGGAATATACTGGAGCAGCTGAGTAGCTGCTTAGGGATGTTGGCTACTTGTAGTATACAAGAAGCAACTTTGAGGAAGGTCTTCAGCTTATGGCATGCTTGAACCCTGTCTGCACTCAAGTCGTTGTTCAACAGCCTGCCATGCCCTGCCAGTCTTGGGACTTCTTCTGGACTTGAATTAGTGGTCTGCCATATTGTTTGGTAACATTGGGAGTGTGCCTTTTTACTTGTCAACCTTGGGCTTGTCAGCCTGAGCAGCCAGCGGCTGTCTGATGAAAACCTCCAGCTTCACGGGGCCGGGAGTAGGAGGCAGAGCTGAAACCCAAGGTTCAGGGGCTTTCACCCAGCCCCTAGAGGCAGGCACTTTGAACTTGGACTTAAAGCCTCCCAAAACTATAAGAGAGTAAACTCCTGTTTGATTAAGCCATCTCATTTGTGGTATATTCCTGTCAGAATGGCACTAGGTAACTAAAACACTGACTTTCTACTTTACCAACCTTGATATCCTTCTCCAGGGACTTGTCCCTCCTTATTACATGTCCTGTACACAAGAGGTCTGCCATCTTCACTTTTAAGGAGCGTTCCAGCTATACTTTCTCCAAGACAGATTGGTTCATTCTAATAGCAGTCCATGGTACATTCAGTATTCTTTGCAAACACCACAATTCAAATTCATTGGTTCTTCTGCAGTCTTCCTTATTCATCATCCAGATTTCACATGGATATGAGGCTGTTGGAAAGACCATGGCTTGATTGGGTCAGGTGTACCTTAGTCTTCAAAGTGATGTCTTTATTTTTTAACACTTTAAAGATTTGCCCAATGCAGTATGTACTTAAGCTCAGACTACTGCTTCTGTGGATATTGATCCAAGTACAATGAAATGCTTGACAACTTAAATCTTTTCTCATTTATCATGATGTTGCTTAGGAGTTCAGTTGGAAAAAGTTTTGTTTTCATTATATTGAAGTGTAATCCATACTGAAGTCTTTGATCTTCATCAGTAAATGCTTCAATTCTTCTTCACTTCCAGCAAGCAAGGTGGTGTCATCTGCATATCACAGGTTGTTAATGAGTCTTCCTCCAAACCTGATACTTCATTCTTCTTTATATAGTCCAGCTTCTCAGATTATTTGTTCAGTATACAGATTGAATAAGGTGAAAGAATACAGTCTTGCCACAGACTTTTTCTGATTTTAAATCATGCAGTGTCCCCTTGTTCTGTTTGAATGACCATCTCTCGGTCTATGTACAGGTTTCTTATGATCACAATTAAGTATTCTGGCATTCACGTTCTTTGCATTGTCATCCATAATTTGTTATAATCCACACAGTCAGATACCTTTGCATAGTCAATAAAACACAGGTAAACATCTTCCTGGTATTCTTTGCTGTCAGCCAAGATCCATCTGACATCAGTAATGATATCCCTTGTTCCACGCACATCCTCTTCTGAATATGGCTTGAATTTCTGGTAGTTTGCTGTCAATATGCTGCTGCAACTGTTTTTGAATTATTTTTAGCATAATTTTCTTGCATGTGATATTAATGATATTGTTTGATAATTTCTGCATTCTGTTGGGTGTACATTCTTTGCAGTGGGCACAGATATGGATCTTTTCCAGTCAGTTGGCCAGGTAGCTGTTTTCTAAATTTCTTGGCCTAGATGAGTGAGTCCTTCCAGAGTTGCATCTGTTTGTTGACACATTTCAATGGGTATTCTCTCAATTCCTGAAGTCTTGTTTTCTTCTGGTTCCTTTAGTGCAGTTGGACTTTTTCCTTTAGTATCATCCGTACCTGATCATATGCTGTCTCCTGAAATGGTTAAACATTGACAATTCTTTTTGGTACAATGAGTCTGTATATTCCTTCCAATTTATTTGGTACCTCCTTCATCATCGAAGGAGCGCGAGTGGTGTAGTGCCTAAGTCATTTGACTGCTAGCCAGAAGGTGGGCAGATCAAACCCACCAGCCACTCCACAGAAGGAAGGGTAATCTACTTCCATAAAGATTTACCACCTTGGAAACCCAAAGGGGGTCTCTGTGAGTTGGAATCTACTTGATGGCAGTGAGTTTGGTTTTGTATTTGGTTTCATCATTCAGTATTTTCCCCATAGAAACCTTCAGTATTGCAACTCAAGGCTTGAAGTTTTTCTTCACTTCTTTCAGCTTGAGAAATACTGTGTGTTCTTCCCATTTGATTTTCTATCTCTAGGTCTTTGATATTACAGATATTTGTAATTATTTCCTGGGCATAACTTTGTGCAAGTGAAATTGCTAGGTTAAATGGTATGAGCATTAATCTTTTTGATAAATGGTTTACCAGTTTTAATTCTTTAACTTTTTTTTTTTAATAATTTTATTTCTTTGGTGTATATTTGAAGATAACACATTTTAAAGAGTTCACTGTTAATAAATATAAACAAAAAAACCCCAAACTCATTGCTGTTGAATCAATTCTGACTTAAAGAAACCCTACAGGACAGAGTAGAACTGCCCCATAGGGTTTCCAATGCCGTAAATCTTTATGGAAGCAGACTGACACATAGTCCTGCTGGGGAGTGGCTGGTGGATTTAAATGACTGACCAGGTGAGTGCGTAACCACTGTACCACTGGGGCTTTGTGATAGGAATGTGGTCACCTATTAATGCTTATTGATTTACTAAAACTTTTTTTCTAGATGATTAAATTTTATAACATGGTATAGGCCAGTAGTTTTTAACCAGGATCTATGGAGCGAAAAAGGAAGGCCCTTAATGAGATGGATTGACACACTGGCTGTGTCACCATGAGTTGGAACCAATTTGACAGAGCCTAACAACAACAACATAGCATACACAATTCTTGTCATGTTGCTATGGTAAAACTATTGTCTTAATTTTTTACATGTTTTACAGATCTGCAAAAGATGATTTTACATCTATTATTGGGAAATGCCAAGGTAAGAATTTACAAAATATTTTAAAAATTGAAATTTCAAATCTACAATTGTTATATTTCTTAATGGTCAGAATAGATATTAAATACTTATAAACAAGGATCATTATGACTATGTATTAAAATAAGCAGAAAATATTTAAACTGATTCTCTACTGCACCTGATATTTTGTTTTAAGATGTATATTTTAGAGGGAGTGAAATTGTGTTTTTTAAAAATAAGCCAGTTTCAGGAAGGATCATTTGTAGGTTTCTGTGTTCTTTTATTTTAGATTAAAACAGAAAGAATATTTAGGTATAAGTCAAGAATTGGTCAGATACAGGTTTGTAAAAAGTCTGTGATTTGTTCATTCTTTGATATGTTTAGTAAACATTTTACTAAGTGCCATTTATGTATATGAACTGTTTTGTTTCATATTGGGGTATGACTTAGGAAAAAGACATCATCCCTTACCTGAAGAAGTATATGGACGCTCAAATATATAATTACAAATTTTGAAAAATATGATGAAGAAAAAATACAGGTCACAGTGAGAGTTTTTAACCAGAGGTGTGGCAAATGTAAGATGAGATGGTTGAGAAGAAGTGACTTTTGTAAACTAACCTTAAGAAGGACTAGAAGTTAAGGGAAGACAGGAGGAGTCTACAGGAGCAGTGCATGAAAAGGTAAAAGGGAACCTTATAGTAGGAAAAAAGAGTTAAGAGGGTACTATTAGGAAATTTATTTATTTCCTATGATTTGATTATAGGACTATTTGCCTGATCATGGGTTAGTTTGGGAGTGCTGGTGGTGCTGTGCCTGAGGCATTTGACTGCTAACCAGAAGGTTGGCGGTTCAAACCCACCAGCCACTCCTCGGAAGGAAGATTGGGCAAGCTACTTCCTTAGAGATACCGTCTTGGAAACCCAAGGAGGGGTCACTATGAGCTGGATCTGACTTGATGGCAGTGAGGTTTGGTTTAGGGTTTTTGGTGTGTTAGTTTAACAGTGTGCTTATTGTTAGAGTAATAATTAAGTCATTCTGATGATGACAGACATTTATAGTATTCTTAATATATGCCAGGCACTGTACTTAGTAATTAGAATTAGATTGTAAATTATTTGAAGGATGGGCTCATAGTTTACTCAATTTTTTTTAAAAAAATTTATTCTTAGTGCTTAGTGTGGTGCCTGACATATGGTAGGCACATAACTTTTGGCCTTAGTAACTGGGCAATGACACTTGAAAATTATTCAGATGAATGTTTGAATGGAGTCCATTTGCCTGTTTTCTTTTTTAAAATTTGAGCTATTCATGGGAAAGTGTGTATATTTATTATGTGTAATATTATAATACCATCACTTATTTGTTAGTTTGTTGTACTGTGGTGGCGTGTGTGTAGCTGTGATGCTGGGACCTATGCCACCAGTATTTCAAATACCAGAAGGGTCACCCATGGTTGGACAGTTTTCAGTGGAGCTTCTAGGCTCTGGAATGACAAATTGAAGAGCAATGGTATCACATTAATTGTTAAGAACATTTCAAGATCTATACATTGAAGTACTATGCTATCAGTAGTAGGATAATATCCATATACCTACAAGGAATACCAGTTAATGCTATGGTTATTCAAATTTACACACCAACCACTAAAGGCAAAGATGATGAAATTGAACAGTTTCACCACCTTCTTCAGTCTGAAATTGACCAATATGCAGTTAAGATGCATTGATAATTACTTGTGATTAGAATGTGAAAGTTGCAAACAAAGAAGCATCAGTAGTTGGAAAATATGGCCTTAGTGGTGGAAATGACACTGGAGATTGCATGATAGAATTCTGCAAGAGCAAGAGCAAGAGCTTACTTATTGCAAATACTCTTCTTCAATGACATAAAAGGAAACTGCAGGTGGACTTGCCAGATGGAATATACAGATACCAAATTGACTACATCTGGGAAAGAGACTATGGAAAACCTCAATAACATCCGCATAAGTCCAGGATCTGACTGTGGAACAGACCATCAGTTGCTCAAATGTGAGTTTAAATTCAAGTTGAAAGAAATTCAAAGGAGTCCATAAGAGCTGAAAAAATGACTTTGAGTATATCCCACCTGAAGTTAGAGACTGTCTGAAAAATTGATTTGACACATTGAACACCAGTGACAGAAGTCCAGATGAGTTGTACGATGATCTCAAGGACATCATATATGAAGAATGCAAAAGGTCATTGCAAAAAGGACAGGGAGGCCACGTGTTCTGACCTCCTCTAACCCCACAAGAGGAAGACAGAATCACCATCAATAGCCCAGGGCCTATTACTGCAAGGCCAGACATGCTGCCTTTCTCCAGCCCTTTCACCAATTGTTTCTCCCAAAGCACCCACCACCTCTCTCCTGGGTTCGATAATTCACTGTAGTGGCCACACAGCACTCACAGATTACAGGGTTTATTAGGGAAGCACCAGGCTACAATTCAAGTTCAGGAAAAACAGTCTCTCTCCTAGCCCACAGTCTCTCTCCTAACAGTCTCTCTCCCAACAGTGCGTGTTCCTTGGTGTCTCACTCAGCAATGCATGTCTCTTGTGTCTCTTTCCCAGCAGCACGTGTCTCTTTCAGCAGCATGTCTTCCTCAACCAGCAGTTAGAGAGAGACTTCTTCTGCCTGTAGGAGACCTCCTTTTGAGCCTGGCAGAGTGGCCAAACTAGCCAATCATAATATCAGAATTCTAAGCACCCGAGAGAGAGCAGGATCCTCCCAGAACATTGCTTTGTGTTGTGCCCAACAGAAATACCCCAGGTGGATAACTTTTACAATCAGGAGCTCCTGTGTTGCTCACAGCAAATTTTACCACAGAGTTTACAAAGACTTATGGCTAGAAAAGCCATACCAGGTAATTTACTACACCACAGTCATTAAAAAGACCAGGGAAGAAAGAAAAGATCAAAATGGATATCAGAATAGACTTTGAAGCTTGCTCTTGAAGGGAGACTTGTTAAAATGAATAGGAAAATGATGAAGTAAAGGAACTGAACAGAAAATTTCAAAGGGCAGCTCAAGAAGACAGAGAAGAGTATTATAATGAAATGTGCAAATACTTGGAGTTAGGAAATGGAAAGGGAAGAACACGAATGAAATTTCTCAAGCAGAAAGAAGTGAAGAAAAATTCAGGTCTTGAGTTACAATATTGAAGGATTGTATGGGCAAAATATTGAACAATGCAAAAAGCATCAAGAGAAAGTGGAAGGAATACAGAGTCACTGTAGAAAAAAAATTGGTCCCTATTCAACCATTTCAGGAGGTAGCCTATGATCAAGAAGCCATGGTATTGAAGGAAGAAGTCCAAGGTGCTGAAGGAATTGGAGGAAAACAAGCTTCTAGGAATTGACAGAAAACCTATTGAGATATTTCAATAAATGGATGCAATGCTGGAACCCCTCATCACTTTTTATTAGTTTTTTTAAAATTTTTGTTGTGATTTGGGTGAAAGTTTACAGAGAAAATTTATTTTCCATACAGCTATTCATATACATTTTATTTCATGACATTGACTGCAATCCCTGCAATGTAACAGCTCTCTTCCCACTTCCTCACTGTAGTTACCTCTTCCCTGTGTCGCCCTTCCCTATGCATTCCTGCCTCCTGAGCTATCTCCTTGTGCAAATACTGCCTTTCTGGTCTCCCATGATTGATAAGGTACCTACCTGGTGTAAATGTTCATCTTATATACCTGTCTGTTGTTTGGCTGGAAGCCACAGGAGTGAGTTCAATTCCAGGGCCAAAGGGTGACTAGTGGCCATAGTCTTGGGGGGTTCACCAATCTCTATCAGACCAGTAAGACTGGCGTTTTTGATGATCTTGAGTTTTGTTCCCTGTTTTTCTCCCACTCTGTCCAGAATCTCCAATTTTGATCACTTTCTGAGTGGATGGCATTGGTACCCAGGCACCATCTAATTTTTCTGGTCTCAGGATCATATAGGTTGAGGTTCACATGGTTCACTAGTCCCTTCAACTAATTGTTTCCATGCATCTTTGGTTTTCTTCATTCTTCTTTGCTCTGGATGAGGAGAGACCAATTGTTGTGTCTTAGATGGCCACTGCAAGCTTTTGAGATACCAGTTGCTGCTCACCAAAGCAGGATGTGGAACAATGTTTTTGTGCAATATGTTATGCCAGTTGAGTTTGATGTCATCTGGGACCAAGGTCCTTAGCCCACAGGTCCAAGAACATCAAGGTGGTTGGCTGTGGCTAAGAAATTTTCATAACTTTGTTCCTGTTAGTTCTATTTATGTGAACATTCTTACATAACATACAAATATGTATGTAGACATATCATCTGCCAAACTTACATATGCTTATGGATATATTCCTTTTTGCCTAGAAATACCTGATCAACCAGTCTACCTATATATCTACCTGTGTGGTCAGTAACCACAACCCCCCAGAGTGGGTCTCAGATTCAATTTTGTTTAGCCATGCTTGTGGCATTGGGAAAGTCAACTGCGAAGGAACTGTATCAAGTGCTGAGAAGCAAGGATATCTCCTTGAGGACTAAGGTGC